GTGACTTTGAATTTGTTGTGGGGTAGATGATTTAAGTACCCTAATGAAACCCTTAGTGAAGTCTGTCTCGTCCACTACTATTTTATGTAAGTATGTTGAAAGGAACCCAAAGAGATGCTGACTCTGTTCTGTGTCCCAGTAAAGCCAGTGTGAGCACCCTTATCTATGAGTTCCTGGGCCAGATGTGCTGGAGTGAGGGTTACTGTTTATTTAATATCTCTAACTGACATGCACTTTAAATGCTTTGTTATATCCATGATTTCTCTTTATCTTTATAACAAGATATGAGAGCCATCTTCCTTTAAAAAAGAGGAACGGGGCTCAGCGCCTGTGGCTCAAGTGGCTAAGGCACCAGCCACATACACCTAAGGTGGCGGGTTCGAATCCCCAGCCTGGACCTGCCAAACAACAATGGCGGCTGCAACCAAAAAATAACCAGGTGTTGTGGCGGGCTCCTGTGGTCCCAGCTACTTGGGAGGCTGAGGCAGGAGACTGGCTTGAGCCCAGGAGTTGGAGGTTGCTGTGAGCTGTGATTCCACGGTACTCTACCCAGGGGGAAAGCTTGAGGCTCTGTCTCAAAAAATAAAAATAAATAAATAAATAAAAAAGAGGAAAGGAAAGCTTAGAGAAGCTAAGTAACCAAAATGACCTGCCTTAAAAGTGTAAAATCAAACTTCATACTCACATCTAATCTCAAATTCCTTGTTTTTAATTGCTAAATTGTGTGAATTTATTTTTTGCTAAGACTTTTCTTTGAGAATTAAAATGTATTTTATTAATTTACAAAAAGATAAAAATTGAAGCTTCAGAATCCAAAAGTAGGAGAGTTTTTAATTTTTTACACTGTACAAGAGTTAAAACAAGTAATTACCGTGTCTTTATATTAATCCCAGTTGGGAACTTGTTCTCTCTACTCTGCCAGTAAGTTCCCATCACACATCAATCACTTCTTCCTGGAAGACTTCAACAACTTCACTAGGTCCTCACCAAATGTGAAAGTTATGGTATCCATGCTCACACTGTTTTTTATAATTGCTGCCACTTTCTCATGTTATTCTTCCTTCCTTGTGTTTGAATGAGCTGTTTGATCTTTACTCTATTCTAAAAATAATTTTATTAATTTATTTATTTAGAGACAAGGTCTTTCTTTCTCTACCAGGCTAGAGTATAGTGATACAATCATAGCTCACATATCCTCAAACTGGTGGGCTCAAATGATCCTGTCTCCTCAGCCTCCAGAGTGCTGGGACTATAGGTGTACTTCACCACGACCAGCTATCTTTATTAAATTTTTTAAAAAGTTGCTTTATTGAGATAATTCACATCTAATATACTTCATCATTTTAAAGTAGTAGTTAGTATTTGTGGACTTACACAGCCATCACTATAATCAATTTTAGAACATTTTCACCATCCCAAAATGAAACCCTGTGTACATTGTAGTCACTCCTCACTTCCATCCCTCTAGCCCTAGGCAGCTGATACCTTTTTTTTTTTTTTTTGGAGACAGAGTCTCTCAATCTGTTGCCCTTGGTAGAGTCGCGTGTCATCACAGCTCACAGCAACCTCAAACTCTTGAGCTCAAGTTGAGAAAGGATACCCAAGAAAGGGTGATGTCTAGGAAAACAGGTCTTCTCAAGGAGACCACAAGGATACACCTGCAGGGTCCTCTCCATGGTGACTAGCTCTTGGGAATTTGTAAACTTAATTTGGAAATTTCCAAGTTCTGTGAAATCCTGTAGTTCTGTAGGGGCTGGAATAGCATCTCCCGCTTGATTCAGACTGGCCAATGAGAAGGCCAATGAGAAGTTCCACCTGTGGGGTGGAACTTTCTGACTGTCGATAAAAAGGGAAAGACCAAGACAGTTGGGGAGCGTGGCCATTTGGAATTCTATGCTGTAAGCTCCCAGCTGGTGAATAAAACCCTTCCTCTTATAAACATAGTGTTTGGGTACCCTTTCTCTCTGTTGGGCCTCGTCTTCCTGCAACAAAGTGATCCTCTTGCCTCAGCCTCCTGAATAGCTAGGACTATAGGTGCCTGCCATAATGCAGCCTTTTTTTTTTAAATAGACAGAGTCTCATTTTGTCACCCTTAGTAGAGTACTGTAGTGTTATAGCTCACAGCAACCTCAAACTCTTAGGTTCAAGCAATTCTCTTGCCTCAGCCTTTGAAGTAGCTGGGACTACAGGTGCCCACCACAACACCCAGGTATTTTTTGAAACAAGGTCTTGCTCTGGCTCAGGTTGGTCTCAAACTTGTGAACTCAGGCAGTGCACCCGCCTCAGCCCCCCAAGTGCTAGGATTACAGGGGTGAGCCACTGTGCCTGGCAACACTGGGCTTTTTTAGGAGACAAGGTCTTGCTCTGGCTCAGGCTGCTAATGAGCTCAGGTGATCCACCCACCTTAGCTTCCCAGAGTGCTAGGATTAGGGGCGGGGACCACCTTGCCCAGACCCAGTAGTCATTTTGTCTCTATTGCTCTTCCTTTTCTGAACATTTATATAAATGAATTATACAGTATGTGTTCTTTTATGACTAGCTTCTTCACCAACTATGTTTTCAAGGTTTATGCATGTTGTAGCATGTGTCAATGCTTTATTATTTGTTATTACTAAATAATATTTTGTTGTATAGATGTAGCAAATTTTGTTTACCCATTTGTCCGGTGATGGACATTTGGTTGGTTTCCACTTTTTGGTCTTAGAGATAATGCGGATACAGACATTCGTATACAAATTTTTGTGTGACCATGTGTTCCGTTCTCTTGGATATATACCTAGGAGTGGAATTGCTGTGTTATATGTAACTCTAAATTTTTAATGAACTGCCAGACTGCTTTCCAAAGCAGCTACATCATTTTTATTCCTTTCAGCAGTGTGTGAGGGCTCTAATTTCTTCCATCTCTTTAGCAACACTTGTATTTGTCTGTCTTTTAATTTCAGTCATCCTGGTGAATACGAAGTGGTATCTGATTTGCAGTTCCCTGGTGGCTCCTCTTTAATTTTTTTTTTTTTTTTGAGAGGGTCTCGCTTTGGTGCCCTCGATAGAGCACTGTGGCATCATAGCTCACAGCAACCTCAGGCTCCTTGGCTTAAATGATTGTTTTGTCTCAGCCTCCAGAGTAGCTAGGACTACAGGTGCCCACCACAGCGCCCAGCTATTTTTAGATGCAAGGTCTTGCTCTTGCTCAGGCTGATCCTCTTTAAATTTGAAATTGGTATGAGTTAAAAATACTCTTATCTCTGTCTCCTAAAACATCCATGCTATTTTCTACATTAGTTCTTAATAAATGTCTGAATTTATAACCTTGTTTTTAAAAATTACAAGAAAAGAAGAGGTGGTCCTTAAAATTTTTATTGATCTCTGTTGAAAGTGTGCTTTGCCCATATTACTAGCATTAGTAATTAGCAGGAGTAATTTGCATTACTCTTACAATTACTTTCATACTTGTATCTTATGGTGTCACAATGGCACATTGTGCTACATTTCTTTATCCCTCATTGCTAAACCCTTTGTATACCCAATGACTTCATGAATATTAATTAAGTGAATTAATGGAGTTTTTTTTCACACTCATTCTGGATCACTGAAGTTGTCCTTGGGGACAGGTGGGTGTTCTGATTCTGATAATGCTAATAACCTACTCAAAGATCTAAACAGCATTAAAACCTTCATTTAAAACCAATATGTCCAAAAAAATAAGAACTGACAAGCTTGAAAACTATTTCTAAAATATAGTTTTGCTTGTCTGTACATATTGTCTGAAATGTTATTTGTTTTTAGGTTCCTATATAAGCAGCCCCAGAATTATTTGTCCCGTATCTAAGGAATTCTATAAAGTAATTAGCCTGGTAAATCCAAAGACTTTATCACAGCAGTTAATCTTCATTGTAAGGCATACTTAAAATACTTCCAAATGATAGATTAACAAAAAAGTGATTTTTAATATTTTAAAAAAGATGTTAAAACCTGTCAGTCAGATTTTAAAGGAACTATATTCAACTTTAACATTATGTAAATGTTCCAAATATAAGCAAACATTGGCTAATAGTCATATATGGCTTTCAGTGTAATGCACTAGGAAAACAGAGATGTCTGATAATATTGGTAGAACTTTATTTTGCCAACATTAATTTAACCTTGTGTACAAAGCAGTTATTTATGTGAGTGGTGCCTGTGGCTCAGTGAGTAGGGCGCTGGCCCCATATTCCAAGGGTGGCGGTTTCAAACCCGGCCCCCGCCAAACTGCAACTAAAAAAAAAAAAAGCAGTTATTTATGAGCAAATTTTTATGTAACTAAAACAAAGAGATCTTTCTCTGGTTGAATTTACTATAAAATTATTTATCTTACTTAAAATGTAAAATAACAAAGATTGTTTTGAACCACAGCTAAAATTTGCTAAAATACACATTACTGTAAGATAGTATTTTTTAGTTATCCAAATAAAGGGTTTATAATTATGTTGCCTTGGTGCTCTGAGAGAAAAATAAGATTAGTATATTTAATAAATCTGTATGCCTTAGATCCTTAGTAGGTAGCCTTTTAAAAATCAAATCTATTCTGTGCTCTTAAATGGTGAGCAAGTGAAGTGGATGTCGTGGTATAAGATCACAAATACCAGTGTGAAAGCTTTTCTAGAGATGAGGTTAAAAAAAAAAATCTTTAATAAATCCTTGTCAACATTAACCTGACTTCTGCTCATTCAAATATTGTCCTTAGCCTGGCGTTGTAGAGGGCTCCTGTAGTCCCAGCTACTTAGGAGGCTGAGGCAAGAGAATCACTTGAGCCCAGGAGTTTGAGGTTGCTGTGAGCTGTGATACCTCGCCACTCTACCGAGGGTAACAAAATGAGACTGTCTCAAAAAAAAAAAAAAACAAAACCCCCAAATATTGTCCTTAGAGTGATCAAAAGGCCATGGCTTCTGGGTCTTCACTGGTAACGTTATTTCTTTCATTATTCTTAGAAAAATTACTGCTAAAAGCATATTCGCTTTTTTCCCAACATGATGGCATTTCTGTGTTTAAAAAGAGCATTAAAAACTATGAATTAGTTTAGTTCATGATTCCCACTAGTCATTCTAATTATATTTCTAAAGACTGATATGTTTCGAGTAAGTTCTAATACTGTGTAGTGATGAAGATGTCACCAACTACTTAAGTTCAATTCTGATCTTATATATCATTCTAATTAGATTACTTTGAGCAATATATGTTCAGTTAGATTTACCATATTGAGTAGTAAAGTTTTGTAAAGTAAAACCTATATAGTTTCTTGCCATTCTTGAATTTCATAATAATGAGGGTCAAAGGGCCCTTCTGCTCCTTCTTGTTCTTGGCCCTCGTGAGCTCCTTCAGGATCATCATGATCATCATTGTCGTCATCATCATCATCATCTTGAAATCTTCTGAAAACTTGTGTTTTCAGTTGTATTGTTTGACCATGAGTGCTTCTTTGTTCACCATAATAAATACTACGTAAATGAGGGAAGCAGAAGAAAATGTATGAGCTTATTGGTTCTTTTAGCTTATTTTGGTCCACACGAAGGTATGTTAAATGGTGAAGATGTAGCGGGTCAATAGATGGGCACATCATTGTAACATTGATCTCTGAAAAATATAAATTAATAATTAATCCTGATTATATCCATGATTCTATGTTGGTCTTTATTTTATATGGGACATAATTTTATTAATTAAAATACTTTAATTAGGTGGTATCAGATTTAATTTTTTTACATAAATCAAATAATAAAATGAGGAAAATGAAATTATAATTGAGTTTTATATTACTAGATAAATATGCCTTCATTGGCATTTCTAATTATTTAAGTAATAAATTCTTAGTAGACCATCTCAAGAAAAAAAGTAAAAATCATCTATAGCCCTACTACTCAGAATAGTAATATTTCTTCATTTGCTCTATAGTATTTCTCAGTATTCAAGGTGATAAAATCTAACAGAAGAGACTATGAATTGAATAGAACACCTTTCTTTGGGGCCAATTTCTTTCTTTTCCTTAGCCAACTTCAAAACAACCATTTTCAGCAATATCTAAAGCATAAATTATTAAAGGTTATTTCTTTTAAAAGTCAAAATACTATTTTTCTCTCTTTAGAAAACAAAATTTTACATACTTTCTATTTCATTATTTTCTAGGTATAGGTGTTCCAAATTTCTTGGAATGTAGAATTCTTGTTTCAATTTGTTGTGTCCAACATTGAGCTCTATAAGGTTGGAAAGATTAAAACTATTATATGGGATGTCTTGCAGTTTGTTGTATGACATTCTTAGAGCATGAAGTTTTGGAAGTTTGTCAAAGTATTTTTCTGGTATAGAAGAAATTGAATTATTTTCTAAAGACAGATACATAAGTGAAGAAGGTAAACCAGGAGGCATTGATTCTAATCTGTTATTACATAGGTTGAGCTGCATTAATTTTTCCGTTTTGGCAAAGATTTTGTCTTTTAACACAGAATCATGAAGATGATTATAACACAGGTCAAGCATAGTCAAATTTACTAGCCCATCCATAGCATTTGTCTGCAGTGTGGAGATTTTATTGTAACCAAGAAGGAGTCTTTCCAGAGATTTAGGAAGAGGAAATGGAAATTCTTCTAAATCGTTATGCTCTAGATGAAGTTGTAGTAGATTTGAAAACTTAGCAAAAACACCATAATCAATCTTTTGAGATTTAATTTTGTTGTGGCTGAGGTTAATTTCTTTAAGATAAGTTGCATTGATGAATGAATTTGTGGTCACAGCCTCAATTTCATTGAACTGAAGGTAGAGTTGCTGAATATGCATCGGAATATTTGGGATAGTCTTGAGTTTGCGATTGTCACAGTACATGGATGTTGGAAAGTTAGTTGGACAGAAGCATTCACTGGCACAGCCTAAAGTATACTGGTGAAAAGGAACTCCATATTCTACACTTTGACGAAACTGGAATTCTGTTTGATAATCATCATCTGAGTCTTGGTCATAATCTTCATCCCATTGATAGAATTCATATTGGCAATATACTTTGACTCCAAAAAAGAAGAAAATGGCACATATTGGACTTAAAAAGCCCATGTTCTTTTTTTCTTGTCCTATTGTGAGGAGAAAAGTAAATGTATTATATAAAAAGTGAGTAAACTCAGAATAATTCTTGTATAAATTGACAGGTATATAAAATGTATTATATTATACTTACGTCTGTATATAAAACAATATCCAGAATGGGCAGTGCTCAAATAAAAATTAATGTTGTCTATATACCAGTGAGGTAAAGTTTTTTAAAAAGTCATATATTGTGGCTCACACCTACAGTTCCAGTGTTTAGAAAGGCCAACCTGGGAAGATTGCTTGAAGCCACTAGTTCAAGACCTCATCACTACAAAAACAATTTAAAAAATTAGCCAGCCCTGGTGGCATATGCCTACAGCTCCAGCTACTTGGGAGGCTTATGTCATAGGGTAGCTTGAGCCCATATGTTCAACGCTATGGTAAGATATCCAATGGGGTGAATATATTACTTAGGAAAAAATTAGAATCATAGTTCTTTTATTCTGCACTAAAACTTGGGCAACGGAGCGAGACTCTATCTCTTAAAAAAAAAAAAATACTCACATATTGAACTGAACCAGAGGCAAAAGTCTGATGTTCTAGACTGATCATCTTTTAAGAGAATCTGTTTATCTTGCTTACTATAGTATATGATGATAGTATGACATCACTCAACTACAGTCTGGTTCTCTCTCCACTTTATCTTATGTATGTATGTATTTATTGAGCTGTGGCCTCATAGCTCTCAGCAACCTCAAGCTCTTGGGCCTCAAGTGATCATCTTGCCTCAGTTTTTCTATTTTTAATAGAGACAGGGTCTCACTATTGCTCAGGCTTGTCTTGAACTCCTTAGTTCAAGCAGTTCACCCACCTTGCCCTCCCAGAGTGCTAGAATTACAGCCCATGGCACCTGGCATTCTCTCCACCTTAAATGTTCTTATGAACTATTTAGTCTTTTTTTTTTTTAAGTAAATCATAGCTGTGTACAGTTATGCAATTATGAGGTACAATGTGCTGTTTTGTATACAATTTGAAATAGTTTCATGAAACTGGTTAACATAGTATTTAGTCTTTTAATGATGATCACTGCCTGTGAGAGGAGAGACCTGTATTTCAGTTAGAGAGATCTTGCCTTAGAGATTCTATAACTTCTAGTTGCCGATACCCTTTTCTGCCTTTTAGAACATGAAATACTTACTCTCTTTCATATGACAACTTGAAATATTTAGAAATAGCTTTCATATTTCTTCTTAGGGTTTTCTGTCCAACCATAACTTGTGCCATCAGATATTCTTCATAAACAATTTATAGAATCCAATTATTTCATCTCTGATTGGGCTTTAATTACTAGTTCACATCCCAAATGCACACAATATTTACATTTTACAAAGTTTGTTTCTATTAGGTTCATCTTTACATTTTTCTTCCTAGCTTCCTTTTTTGAGTTGTAGATACATGAATATTAAAAACACACCTATCCTTGTCTCCTGAGAATTGAATGTCTAGTGGAGGATTGGAGAGATAGACAATACAATGCAACAAGAGAATATTATATGGAATAGGATTGTAAAGGGAAAGGTTCCACAGACATTTAATGGTCATTTGTGCCAAAAATTGAAGTTGGAGGGAAGGATGGAGTGAGGAGCCTGAAAACCTGCATTGCAGACCTGTTACTTAACATCTCCCTCTAGCTTCATCAATAAAATAGGAGTTATAATTATAGCTGAATTATATCTTGGCTGCTTATCTTATTTGCTTACCTTGCATCTTGATTTATATCTTGCCTGCTTAGCTCATCTGGTAATTGTTAGGATTATATGAGATATGCATGTAAAAGTACTTTGTAAATTAAAAACTGCTATCTGATGGAATGAGTATATTATTTAGGTAAAAGTTAAAATCATACTTTTTTTTATTCTGAGACCTTTGTTATCCAGGGTTTCACGAGAAATGAATGTCCTAACACATCACTGTATGTAAGGAAATGAATTATCTCCTACTCATCTAGAATGGTACTAGCTATTTTTCATCATTGGTATAAGTGAGAAAATGGTTATTTAAATCATTTTTATTGACAGAACCTCATTTGAGAAAGGTTGAGAGACATCATAGTTTCTCATTTCTTGTCAAAAGTTAAGAATATATAGAATGTAAATATTGTATTATTGGGGATTTGAATTAGTAATTTGGGGCAGAGACCCTTGATCTCTTTTCCTTCATTGATACTGTTCACCATTCTTCCTCACCATTTGTTCCCATGCACCCACATCCTGGGCTTTGTCATTAACATTACTGTAACCCTTCATACTCTCTTTTCTGAGAGTACTTTGACCACTATCTCCATGTAGTAACACCAACTGCAATAATTCTTCAATTGCAATGAAACTTAAAATATATTGATTCTACTGTTTTTCATTGTCCCTCATCCACACCTTCCAATATCATCAGTTCCCTTACCAACTTAGATGCCATAGTTCATCACCATCATTACTCCTTTGCACATTTCCTAAATTTTGTGGCTCCTTATGTCTGGCAAACTTCAACTCTGGTTACTCCCATTCTCCACCTCCTCACAACCTGACTCACAGAGCTGAATATAACTAGAGAAAAATAGGACCTTGCCAACTGGTATCACTCTCAATTCATGACTATTAACCTTGAGTGCTACACAGCTGCATTTCCTTATACCATCCTTTTTTCCTCTTGCCAGCCTCTTAAAACATCATTCCTCATTATTATTTTTAGGTAATGATCTTGCTTCCTGTTTTTTAAATTTAGTAAATAGGATTGAGTGATCATTTATTCCAATATATTTTCTTCTATCTATTCCTACCTACAAGAAAATGCCAAAATGGCAATGCTTTGGTCTCTTTTTTTAACAATACGTGATTTTGAAATTCATGATGTTTCTTTCCTTTTTTATCTTTCTTTCTATTCTTTCACTTTTTTTTTTTTGGTGGGGGGGAGGCAGTCTCCCTCTGTCTCCTTGGCTAGAGTGCACTGGTGTTGTCATAGCTCACTGTGACCTCAAACTCCTAGGTTCAAACGATCCTCTTGCCTCAGCCTCCTAAGTAGCTAGGACTAAACAATATCCAGCTAATTTTTGTATTTTCAGTACTAATGGCATCTCACTGTTGCTCAAGCTGGTCTTGAATTCCTAACCTCAAGTGATCCTCCCACCTTGGCCTCCCAGAGTTGCTAGGATTATATCATGTTCTCACTTTCTACAAGTCTATGTGTATTTCATCCATTGTTCTTTCTTTTTCATAGAATTCATGAAGGAGTGTAAGAGTTTTCATAGAGCAGTGTTTTCTGACTTTTTTTTTTTTTTTTGAGACAGCGCCTCAAGCTGTTGCCCTGGGTAGAGTGCTGTGGCATCACAGCTCACAGCAACCTCTAACTCCTGGGCTTAAGCGGTTCTCCTGCCTCCGCCTCCCTAGTGGCTGGGACCACAGGTGCCCGCCACGACGCCCAGCCATCTTTTGGTTGCAGTTGTCATTGCTGTTTGGCGGGCCCGGGCTGGATTCGAACCTACCTGCTCTGGTGTATGTCGCCAACACCTTAGCTGCTTGAGCTACAGACACAGGCTGACTTCTTTCTTTCTTTTTTATCTCACAGCATATTTGAACATATTTTAAACTTCTGCCCCACACTTAAATTATGTTGATAAAAGAGTAAAAGAAGAATATTCTTACTGTGCTTTGAACTTCTTTCAAAAATAATTGGATTAATGATCTTTAAAAATTTTTCACTATACACCTAAGATTCTCTCACAGGATACCAATGAAAATCAATGTCATAGAGTAAGATAGGGAAGGTTTTCACATAGAACAGACGAGCAAAAACATAAGAACAACAGAGAGTGCAATGCTCTGTTTGAGAAATGCTAGTTAACCAGTGAAAGAACAAAATGAGGCTATTAAGTCTAGAATCTAGAGGGCATAAATTCTGAGCCAAGGAATTGGCACTCTGGAAATGAATACCAAATTTAAATTTAACAAATTAACATTGAATTGTGATCTGCACACTGGGTTTGTAGATGAAGTAGAAGAGAGTCTTGTGGGGAGGAGGAGTGAAGGAGTTATGGTCTCATCCTATAAGGCAGTGTTCAGAGTAATCCAGCTCTCCCTGCTGGGCTGGAAGGTCTCAGCAAGTCTGCTTAGGGGTGCTCATTCACCGGTTGTACTGTACTACTCTGTTGCACATGAATGTGCTTAGTAAAGCACTTTGCTAAATTAGTTTGATTTGGTTACTTCAGTTTATTATTGTCCTGAGTTATTTCTAGGAGTAAGGCACTATGGTAAGTTAGTGGGAAACGAGGGCATGAAGACATGGCCCCATCTGTAAAGAGCAAGTGGTTTAGTGGAGGAGAGAGTCACAATAAAGTGAACCCTAACCTGAGACATAAGTAACATGGTTTATAGCAGAGGCAGGTTTTATTTTGGGCCTAGTGGCCCAGTAGCTAAACTCTGCTTTTGCAGACATCTTTTGACCTAGACTTTGGGAGATTAATAGGAATGGGTAAAAATCATCCTATATTTTACACTTGATATTTAATATATATAATTTTATAATATTCTATTATACTCATTGTAGTCTGGCATATTAACTTTTTGAAGCACTTGTCATACTTCATTTCATCCTCACTTTGGCCACTAACGTTGGATTCTATTATACTGCTGTATTCCCAAAAGACTCAAGTAGAAGCAGAGGCAGAGACGTGCAGCTGCACTGGGCCAGACCACACAGGAGTCTAAAGCTGACTATTGCACAGATAAATTTTGAAAAGAGTATTGTTCATGAAAACTCAGCTTGGATTTTATCCTTTTGTTAAGAACATTAGCAATTGTCAGCAATTTAAGAATTAGAGTCTGTTCAACGAGTATGAGAAATTGTTGGGAAAAATGGAGGCAGCCTAGGTGCTACTACATACCTTGCAACTATATTTTATTGCATACCTTTGACTTAGAATATAAGGGGATTCTTAAAGTTGTCTGTTATTGTTCATCATGGGCACCTAAAATGAAAGGCTTTCCCTGAAGAGCACTTTCTCTTCTATACCTGAACTTACCTTAAACATTCTTATACTTCTCCCTCCATACTCCTAGCCCTGTCATGTGATCTTTTCCCACTCCATTTTAACTGCGTACTGTTTTCTTGTCTGACTGAAATTCATCCCATTTCCAGCCTTATGTCCATTATTTTGTATTCTACTTGCTCTTTCCCCATGAGAATTTTCCCTGTTACAATGATCTCTTATTTCATTTCATTCCGTTTTTTATTCCAAGTAACCTCAGCCATTTGCTAAGCATATTTTTGTTACTTCTGCTTTGTATATTCTACAATTTATGCCTTATTCTCTATAAGATAACTCACAACAATACACTATAATTCATTGTCAGTCATCTTCCTGACTTCTAATATTTAACAGAATCTAGTACAATGCACAATATGATAAGTACTCCAAGATTTGTTAAACGAATGATTGTATTAATAAGTTACAGATTACATCTTGTTAGCAATACTTATCTATACTAATGCCAATTATTTCTATACTTTAATTTCACCCTTCTGATTTCTTTAAAGGAATGTAGTCACAGAGAGCTTAGCTGTTCTTCCTGTTGAATGTTTATTTCTAAATTATAATATACTGTATTTCTCACTTTTCCTAGTACACCGTCTAGTATAGATACAACAAATGTGAAAAAGAAAGTTTAAAGCAAAGTAAAACATGTATTATCAGTTTTTAAAAATTATCCATTAATGTGAATTCTTTATATTCTAGCAATAAAAGTATCTATGTCATAACAGTTCTTTTACTTGGAAAAAGCATTCATGCTTTCATCAAGACAAGTTCTCATTGAAATTATTAATAAAAACGAGATATAATTTACTTTGTTCTGGAGAATTTAAAGTAAAAGCCTCATAACATTTTATTATTTTAAGGACATAATTGTTTTATTGTTAGAAACTAAGTATTAGGATATGAGTCAGATTTTTTCCCATGACAGTTTTAAATTTTATAAATTATTTTACTATTAAATATATGATTGTCTCAATTATTTTTAGCTATAATACTTTTAAATCTTAATTAACTGAAACCCAAGTAACTAGATCCTTCAGTTAAAGCATCCATATCTTCCCTTCCAAAAAGAGGCACATAAAAACAAATAGTATTCTATGTTAGGAATTTGGTTTCTAGAGAATTTTTGAGAAACTTTGAGTGAAATTTGTACAAATGCCCATCTTCCCTACAACCAGAATCACTACTACTGCTCAAATGTATGACTTAAAGGCATTAGCTGGTTTTTGTTATTTAAAATTGAGAGAAGAAAAAGAGACCCAAGAAAGAGAGATTAATTCCTTTAACCAGAGAATCCTTCCTTTCACTCACAGTTTTAAAAATCTAAAGAAAGATTTTTTTTATTGGGTAAATCTTAAATTAGAAAATTAATCTCACTATACTGCTTCTCCCCCTGAACATTTTGCCTAATCAAAATTTTAATGTAACTTTTACCAGATTTTGCTTCCAAAAATTGTGCTCTTATGATAGATGCAGTCTACTGTAATAGTAAATAAATCCAATATACTTTTTTAATAGCAGGAATTCATTCTTAAAAAATTGAAAATTATTTTATCATCATACCTGTTGAATGTGCTTTAGTTTTCAGGGGTTGATGAATTTGCAAATCTTCTAAATGAATCAGAAATTCCTAAATTCTTTAACTGAGTCTCTTAAAAATCCACAGTACCGCTGTGTCCAGACAGGGCTGTCCCTTGAATTACTGTAGCAATTTAAGCAAATACAATCTGCTTGGAAAACACTTGGCTTGGATTAAAATTATGTATTTCTTCTCATTATACAAAACTTTGTGGATTCGAATTAAGATGCTTATGTTCTTCCTCAGTTTTATGTGGCTTTCTTTTTTCTTTTCCCCTTAATTTTGGTTTGAGGTGTGGCAAGAATTTCCTCTAATATGAAAGGCAAACAGAACTAAATGAAACAGAATGTACTGATTACTGTTTTTATTTTTATTTTCATGCCAAAGAATTCTTCAAATTAAAGTCTCTTGTGACAGAGAGCCCAGTGTCTCAGCAATTTAAGGTGGAACTCAAAAATTTCTTGAGTCCCTGAGTTGTTCAACATTCATATCAGTGCTTCCCTTTGTTAAAACAAAGAATCAAGATTAGAAAGATACAGCATTTCACATTTAGGTTGTTTGTTTTTGAGATAGTGTCTCACTCCGTCTCCCTGGGTAGCGTGCCCTGGCATCGTAGCTCAAAGTGACCTCAAACTCCTAGGTTGGTTCTTTTGCCTCAGTCTCTACAGTAGTTGAGACCTCAGGAGCTTGCTACTATGCCTGGCTAGTTTTTCTATTTTTACTAGAGACAGTGTTTCCCTTTTCCTCAGGCTGGTTTTCAACTCCTGAGTTCAGACGATCCACCCACCTTGCCTCTGAGAGTGCTAGGATTACAGGCATGAGCCACTATGCCTGGCCCTAGTTTATTTTTTAAATGCAATAGATTGTCATGGATTACACAGATTAAACATATGATTTTTTTCATACAAAGACTTGTACCTTCTTTTTGATTAGCTTCTTCTTTCTCACGCTGTTCCCAAATATACTTACCAGAATACCCTCTAATAACCTCTGTAATAGAAATTAATCTTTTGGTTCTGGAAGTCAGTGCCTTGCACTTAGAAGGTGTATCTTGGCTCGGTGCCTATAGCTCAGCAGCTACAGTGCCAGCCACATACACTGGAGCTGGCAGGCTCGAAGCCAGCCTGGGCCTGCCAAACAACAATGCCTGGCTACTTGGGAGGTTGAGGCAAGAGAATTGCTTAAGCCCAAAGAGTTTGAGGTTGCTATGAGCTGTCATGCCATGGCACTCTACTGAGGGCGACACAATGAGACTCTATCTCAAAAAAAAAAAAAAAATAGAAGGTGTATTTCATCACGAGCTCCCAAAGCTGCAGATGTTGGCATGGGTGTGGAGAGAAGGGAACCACTGGTGGTGGGCCTGCAAACTAATACAGCCTTTTTGGAAAGAAGTATGGAGAATCCTCAAAGAGCTAAAAGTAGACCTTCCATTTAATACCGCAGTACCATTACTACTTATCTACCCAGAAGAAAAAATTCATTTTACAATAAGGACATTTGCACTAGAATGTTTATAGCAGCTCAATCCACAATCTCCAAGATGTGGAAACAACTCAAATGCCCATCAGCTCAAGAATGGATAAACTAAGGTATACGTAGGCCATGAGATGCTATTTAGCCATAAAGAAAGATGGAGACTGGGTGGCACCTGTGGCTCAAGGAGTAGGGCACTGGCCCCATATACCAGAGGTGATGGGTTCAAACCTGGCCGGGGCCAAAAACTGCAAAAAAAAAAAAAAAAAAGAAAGAAAGATGGAAACTTTCCATCTTTAGTATTTACCTGTATGGATCTGGAGGACCTCCTTCTAAGTAAAGTATCACAAGAATGGAAAAGCAAGTATCCAGTGTACTCATTGTGAAAATAGTAGATGAACAGCTACATGCCCACTCGAGAGAAAAACACAATTAAATTCAAGTAGAGGGAGAGTGGTGTAGGGAGTTCTTTCTCCAATTTGTCTGTTTTTTGTATAAGACGGGAATATATTTAGTATTAATTTTATAGTATTGAAAATGAAAACCTTCTGTTGCCCAGGAACTATGGCCTTTACTGGATAGTTTGCAGACTTAGAAAGTTCTTCCTGTCACTGAGCTCCCTCTCCTGAAGAGTAACAGTTAACAGCTTTAAATGGTAAATTTTTATTCAGTGTTTTCATATTTTAAACAGAGTTGACTTGTCTTTCTTGGCAGTGGACTTTGAGTTCATTTGCAGGGGGGAGGGTTCTTTTAAGCTTGAGCAAACTAATAAGGTAAAGTAAATCTTGGAGTTTGTGTTTGTTTCCTTAAAATAGTGTTTTTAATTAAGTTTGTATAAAGTACTCACAGCATTTTTTTTAATTCACATTTAAGAAAAGTATACAGCGTTTCAAATGATGCTTTGACAGTATTATAAAAATCTAGTCTATTATTTGAGACATTGGTATGTAAAACGTGGCAGACCACATTTGAGCCAACATTCCATCCTGTTACTGATCTTTTCCATATGTTTTCTATTAGTGTCTTTGTTCTTCAACCTCAGGCTTCCAAATTCAGGAAAAGAAAGCAAATCTGTGTACTTTTCCAAAAATTGTTTTTATATGCCTTCACAGTTCTTTTGGAAGATTAATTTAAAATCAACAGCTTGATTTTTGCAGTTTCTCATTGACTCTGTGATTTGAACTTTTGATAGTGATTATGTTCATATTTCCAACAAATGTTTAAAAAAAGTTTATCAATAAATAACTAGGCCAGGCTCAGAGGCCCACACCAATAATCCTAGCACTCTGGAAGACCAAGATGGGAGGATCCCTTGAGCTCAGCAATTTGAGACCACCCTGAGCAAGAGTGACATCCCATCTCTACTAAAAATAGAAAAATGAGCTGAGCATTGTGACTGGTGCCTGTAGTGCCAGCTATTCGAAAGACTGAGGCAAGAAGATTGTTTGAGTCCAGGAGTTTGAGGTTATGGTAATTTAGGCCAGTGCAATGGCATGCTAGCCCAGGCAACAGAGTGAGACTCTGTCTCAAAATAAATAAATAAATAAATAATAAAATAAAACACAGAATTAAAAATGGCTAGAAAATATTGAATAGATTGTCAGTGTCCAAGAGGATGTAGAGGATGGGAATGGGAGAGGTGATATTTAGAGTCAGGCCTTGAAAGAAAAGTAGGAGCTATAACTGATAGTTTGTCAGAGTTTCTTGTTTTAGTTAGGTGGTTATAATTGTGGCAATTGGAGGGATAAGTCAATTGAATTGATGACACATCTAAATTATATGCTATGACTATTAGATTGAAACATATACAGTATCTCAAAGCTGAATGAAATAGTGCTGGCTAGGAAAGGCCCTGAGACCTACTTAATTGATATAATAAAGATAATGATTTTTTGTTCATTTGTTCCATTCATATTTATTGAGCACTTTGTGTTAGGCAGTTTTAAGGCTCTGGGCACTCAACAGTCAAAGTCTGTGTTGTCACAGAGGAAGAAAATAGACAAAAAGTATATGCCGGACCTGGTGGCTCACAATTGTGATCCTAGCACTCCGGGAAGCTGAGGCAGGTGGATTGCTTGAGCTCAGGAGTTCAAGACCAGCCTGAACAACAGCGAGACCCCATCTCTAAAAATAGCCAGGTGATTGTAGTCTCAGCTACTTAGGAGTCTGAGGCAAGAGGATCATGTAAGCCCAAGAGTTTGAGGTTGCTGTGAACTATGACACCATGGCACTCTACCCAGGGTGACAAAGTAAGACTCAGTCTTAAAGAAAAAAAAGAAAAGAAGTATAAGTAAGCATAAGGAAATCAATATAAACAGTGCGAAGTACAATGAAAGAGAAAAAGCAAGGTAGAGGGATAAAAATGAATGAGGGATAGGAGTGTGGATCAGCATTTCAGGCATTGCTGCTTATGTTGGAATGTAATAGAACATAAGTTATTGTATGGCATCTGGTCAGAGCCAGCGGTCTCAGAGTGGGAGTTACAGAAAAGTAAGGTAAGGTGGTGACAATGATCTACATGGTAGATCACAGAGTTGACATGAGTACAAACTCATATCTAGCTTCATATAGATTTAGATGGTTGAAATAGAAATATTGTTATATAATATATATAAGAAATATTGTTAGATATATATAAAAACACACACACACTGTCCTCACTCTGTTGGCTGACAGGGCCTAGAAGCAGGGACACTCCAGCAGCAAAAGGTACAGCCAGTGCAAGATCTTGGTAAAACATCATTTTCCAGTAAAAGGAACCAGGGCTTCTCCTCAGAGAAAGGGCTGATTTCAGGAGGGCTGGGGCAGAGAAAGTATAAGATGGGCCTGGAATATCATGTAGCACTGAAGAAAGGACTCCAGAAAGTCTCTGTACCTGCAACTTAATGTTGCTGTGAACCCAAAACTGCTCTTAAAAATAAAGTCTATTAATTTGTTTAAAGGGGAAAGGAAGGCAGTATTTTAGATAGTTTTACATATTTAAAACTGAATATTGTGAGGGGTAATCCAAGTTGGTATCAGAAGGGGAAAAGGCCAGCTTGGCTGGAACCTAATGATCTAAGAGGTGTCTTCACAGCAGCCAGTGCCTGTGTTGAGACAGACATATACTTGAAGTCCTGCTTCTCAGCATTGTACATAGAATCATGTTTGTAAGGCAGGTATAACACTTAGCCATTTGAGTAGTACTGTGGTAATAGTCCCAACACTAAATGCAGTTCATCTTATTGTGTATCTTCTCCCACAGGACTATAAGGAACAGACATTCCTAAACTCCACAGCCCAATCACAATTTTTTGTAGTATTTTTTGGTAATTTGCTTTCCTCAATCAACACTGTGGTTCATTCATTTCAGTTTCATATAGTACTCCCTTTGAGAAAATACTATATTTAAATTGTTCTGAGTTTCTTCTATTATGACAGTGTCGAACATTCTTGAACATGTCTCTTGGGGACACTTTAATGGGTTTGCTTAGCAGGGATGTCCCACTTCTTGATTTCTCTGGGCTGCACTGGAAGGAAAAGAGTTGTCTTCAGCCACACATTAAACACACAAACACTAATGAAAGCTGATGAGCAAAAAAAAAAAAAAAAGGATTGTGTATAATTGTAATACACATATTTGCCACCACAGATAAGCAAAAAAGTCCTAATTATGCAACAACCTATTCATAGACTCTCTTAGTATCATCGATGATCACAAGTTTGCAATCACTAATATAGAAAATGTACACATCTAAAGTAGTAAAACAGCTTTGTTTTCATTGATGTTTTTTATTATAAAAGT